TCAAACACAGAGCCTCAGGGGATTGGGAGCTCTCCCCTATCAGGCACAGAGCAGGGCTGATCAGGGGTTGGGCGCCTTCCCCTGTCACAAACAGAGCAGGCGGATAGAGAGGTTGTGGCCCCGCCCCCTGTCACACACAGAGCCGCAGGGCAATCAGGGGATTGGGGAGCTCCCCCCTATCAGGCACAGAGCAGGGCTGATCAGGGGGTTTGGGCGCTGCCCCCTGTCACGCTGATCCCGGTGCCGGGAGCCTCGCTGCTCCGCTGAGCCCTGTGCTGGGAGGCATATTACCCTTTTACTATATAGGATAGAGGCCTGGTGCATGGGTAGGGGCTGGCTGGTTTGCCCTGAAGGGTGTCCTGGATCAGGGTGAGGGTCCCCACTGGGGTGCCTGGCCAGTCTGGGTGAGGGGCTGAGGGCTGTTTTCCCGAAGCGGGTGACTGAAGCTCCCAACCGCTCCTTTTTTTCTTTTTTCTTTTTTTTATTCTGGGCCAGCTTTAGCTCTGAGGCCTCGCTGCTGAAAACATCGATACAGTGTTGCGGTCCAGCTGGCTGAAGCCCGGCTGAATGAAAGCCGGTTTCTGGGGTTTTGTTTAGCTTCTTATTTGCAACATAGTACATAGTTGCTTAGAGTTGCAGCTGAGAGGCCGGCAGCTGCAGGCGGGGAACGTTGGAGTTCGCCGTCACTGGAGCAAGCAAGCCTCCCTGCTCGCTTCAGTGCATGGCTGCCGGCCGCCATCTTGGCTGACAGTTAATTTGTATAAGGATATGCTGATTAGCCAATGGGAAGGGTAGCGGTCGTACCTTAATTACCATGTTTCTCTTTTATTAGTGTAGACTAGAGGCCTGGTGCACAAATTCGTGCACCAGTGGGGTCCCTCAGCCTGGCTTGTGGGATCGGGCCGAAACCGGCTCTCCGACATCCCCCAAGGGTTCCTGGATTGCGAGAGGGCAAAGGCCAGGCCGAGGGACACCACCAATGCATGATTGGGGTTGGGGAGGGACGTGGGAGGTTGGCCAGCCGGGGAGGGACCACAGGAGGATTCCAGGGCATGTCCGGCCCCTCTCGCACAGTCCCGATCGGCAGGACCCCAGCAGCAAGCTAACCTACCAGTTGGAGCATCTGCCCCCTGGTGGTCAGTGCACGTCATAGTGAGCAGTTGAGCCGCCTTAGCATATCATTAGCATATTTCGCTTTGGTTGAACAGGCAACCGGATGACCGAACACTTAGCATATTAGGCTTTTATTATATAGGATTGATGACTAATGAATTACAAGTATTCTACCTTTATCCTCACAAGTAGAAAGTAGAGTTTGTCCACAAAGCTTCAGTCCCGCTGGCAGGTTTTCTGAGACCTCTGAATTCTAGGTGGTCACAGCACTGCACCAGAGAGCATTTCATCACCTTTCCGAGGCCACGAGGACAGCTGAGGAGGAAGCCCCTTCCGGCCAGTGCCCGCAGCCCGCAGCTGGGGTGGTAGATGCTTATATGGCGCTGGTGGATTTCTGTGACCAACGGCTCCGGGAGGAGGAAGAGACTGCATCAGGTGACTCACAAAAGAAAAGAAAATTGTGTCACATTAGGTTACTGTAAAGTCTAAGAACTTTGTACGTACTTTTGGTTTCCTATTTGTGTTTGCTTTAAATGAGAAAAGTCTTGCCTTTTTAAGGATTGACATCTCCAAGCAACATGACCTGCTTATCTTCTATCCTGGAGTCAAGCTGTCTTCCAGCTTTCCATTTACTTAACTTCCGCTTTCATGTTTTGCTTGTTTGGTATTATTGGCCTTATGTGTCCTGACTCTTGTTCCTGGAATTAATTCAGGAACCAGTGGCTGCCCTTGATGTTCCCAGCCCAGGAAGCAAACCGTGCTTCATGTAGAATGGGTAATGTCATAGAACATTCAGTTTCGAGATAGAAACTTGTATGTGTAGTCCAAAATTGCTTCTGGTGTTTTAAAGAAGTTGTTAGGGAGGAAAAATGACATACTACAAAATATAAGCCAAAAGGGAAACTAGAATTACATGGTACATTTATAATTTATGTGTAAGTGGAGATACTAGTATTGACCATGGCTGTTTTTATCCCTGTCCATGTTAGTTACCGAGTCCGTAGAACTGCAGACATATCCTGCCCTTGTGGTGGACAAAATGTTGAAAGCTTTAAAATTACACTCCAGTGAAGCCAGGCTGAAGTTTCCCAGGCTGCTGCAGATTATAGAGCAGTACCCAGAGGAGACCCTGAGCCTAATGACAAAAGAGGTGAGTGTCTGTATCTGTGGAGCTTAAAGACATATTCCTATTTCTATCCAAGCACATTAATGTGTATAATGCATATATTTTAGTTTTTCCTAACAAGCATATAATTTTACTACATTTCAAGAACATGTGTAATTTAAAACGGTATAAAGGAGTGTTCACATTTATCCATTTTCCTTAGTGGATGTTGATAACTCTGTCTGAACAAGGACCCCAAGGAACAGAGGAGGAGGTATATCTGGGACAGAGATGGGAATTTTCTGTAGTACAGTTTACTGTCCATAAAGACAAAGCTGTGGTCTTGGCACCTGTTGATGCCTGTGCTCAGGGCATTACTTAGTCCAGGGAGAAAGGAGTACATTTCAGCTGGCATCCCACCCCCAGTGCCTTTCGTGCCTGCAGCAGCACCGTGTGCGGAGGGACCCTGGGGCATCCGAACTCACAGTGTGCAGCTCGCGTGTGTGGGCGCACAGAAGCAGCCTGCAGTCCCACACATGTTCTGTTCACCAGCTTGTATGTCCCTGCAGTCCTCGCCCTACACTGGGCTTCGTCATCCTGCTGCCTTCCTGTCTGTTAGGCACGTCTGTAAGAGAAGGGCTCCTTACTGACTTTTATAGATGTTTAACTGAAAATAGGGAACCTTTGAGTTGATAACGTAATAGTAGTTCAAAAACAGTGATACAATACGAGCGATCTGAGCAAGTTTTTACACAATGCAGGTCTCTGAGCTGAGATGCAGGGCCTGCCAGGGCTTTCCCACTCCTCTGACCCTGACCCTGTGAATTAGGAGCGGTGGGGTTGTTTCCGTAGGTCTTAAACAGCAGATTAACTTTAGAAATGCACTATTGGTGTGCTTTTCCTAAAGACAAGGGAAGAAATAAGTTATAATTTAATTTTTAAATTATTTTATTTATATATTTAATAAAGATAGCATTTTCACTTTTTGAGAAAATAATCAATGTTCTGACACTGGGGGAAACACTTGAGATGGGGCAGCTCACCTCTACTGTGTGCTCCCTGTGGCTGTGTATTCTGATACATTTTATGCTCACACACCCTGCTCTCCCCTCATTTATGGGTAAAGGTAGGAAGCTTGCCCATAGTCACTCCTCATGCCAATCTGCCAAGTATGTCAGATTTTATCTTAAAATTAACACCTTAAAAAGCATTTTAATTTTGAATAAATTTTGAAAATAGTCTTGGTGTAAAAAAACAAAAACCAGAAGCCATAAAGAAAAATAATTTCATACTTCTACGCAGAAAAAGAAAATATTCCATATACAAAGTTTAAAAAACTGGGAGAAAAATATTTTCAGTGCATATTAGAGACAGGGTTGAGGTCTGCACTCTACACAACAAATAGACCAGTCGGGAATGGTTAAGGGGAATGCACACATGATTATTGTAGGCAGCACACATAAACAGGCTGTTTACTTAAAAGCTTTTTTGTTGTTACGAGCTGATTTGCCTCATTAATAATAAAACATGAAAATTAAAATTAGATTTTCCCTTCTCAGATTGATAATGAATTTTTAAAAAATTGATTGTATCCAAAGTTTTTTTCAGTGCAGTTCACATTCAGTAATATTTTATGTTAGTTCCAGGTGTACAGCATAGTGGTTAGACAATCAGATACTTTACAAAGTGTTCCCCTGATATTTTCAGTACCCACCTGGGCCATAGTGATCAAAACAGCATGGTATTGGCAGAATTCACTTTCAGAAGTGCAGATTGGAAAAGTCTTTTTGGAGAGCTAGCAATGTTTTTTACAGTTGTTAATGTTCACACAGTAATTTTACTTCTAGGAATTTATCCCATTGGTATATAGCACACATACAATAGGGATGTCCACTGTAGCATTATCTGTAATAGCAAAAATTAGAAAATACCCTAAAAATTCATTTTAGGGCAGTAGTTAATTGAAATGGAATACTATGTTGCCATTAGAAGGAATGAGGTAAATTTGTCTAAGAAAAACCAGCAACAGTATGCCTAGTCTGATTCCAGTCTTGTAAGGAGAGGATATGTGTGTACATACCTGGAAAATGTCTGGAAGAATTGCATGGTTCACAGTGGAACAGGAATTGAGAGAGCTGAGGGAGAGAACACTGTATTTTATATTGGTCTGTTTTGATACTTCTGATTATAAATATGTGTACTTTTTATATTGGACACATTGCTTTTATAACAAAACGTTTAATTTTTATGGATTATTAAGTTACAGCTCTCTGTGTTTTAGATTTCTTCCATTCCTTGCTGGCAGTTCATTGGCTGGATCAGCCACATGCTGGCCTTACTGGACAAGGAGGAGGCCGTGGCCATCCAGCACACGGTGGAAGAGATCGCTGACCACTACCCCCAGGCCATCGTCTACCCGTTCATAATAAGCAGTGAAAGCTATTCCTTCAAAGATACTTCTGCTGGTCATAAGAATAAGGAGTTTGTGGCAAGGTGACATTGCAGAGAACTTGGGTTGATTTCTGCTGTAGTTAAATATTACAGTTTATAAACAATGTGTATGGTAAAAGCAAACACATGGAAGCTTATATTTGTCTTCAAATTAATTAGAGCTTTCACTGAAGACTAGAACATCTTAGGTATCTTTGTTAAATGTATCTACCCTGGGTATGCTGTTTGTTAGAATATCTTTTTAAAAATACATTTCCTTTTAGAATACTATTCATGGAACATTCTACCCTTATGCTGATAGCAATCTGTTGGTTGAAACAGGCTAGATGAAATGCTTTTTGAAATTAGTTCTTGAAATTCTTCTTTAATTGAAAATATCCAGGAAGCCCCGCTTCTTAATTAGGACTCAGTAGGCTGTCTGAAGTGTCATTCCTTTCGCTTCTTCAGTTGATTATAAGTGGAGATACAACTAGCAATGGTGTAATGCTTTTGCAAGAATACGTTATAAAGCATGGTATCTTAGTAGAAATTCCCTGTCAAAAAGGGGATGTCTTTTTTGTTAGGAGCTGATCTACTATATTATTTAGTGTTTTGTTTCTGAGAAGACAATAGAGTTAGGCATAGCTTTTATCATGGTTTGTCAATGGGTTAGCTCTGCACACACCACCTGCCACTGCTGGTGCCCCATTCTCAGCAGAGTCAGCAGAGTCAGCTGCAACATGATTAACGATTTTAAAAGAAAGAAAGGAAAAAGTTTTTAAAATTTGTCGAGAAAGTGGCCTTTTCTTTCATAACATAACTTCAGACAGAATTGTATGTATCAAATTGTATACATCAAAATGTTGACATTATTTGCGAGAAAATTTAATTTTACCTTATCTAAGAATCTCACCTCTTTATAGAATGCAGGAGTCCTCCTTTATTCACGAGGGATATGTTCCAAGACCCTCAGTGGATGCCTGAAATTGCAATTATGCCAAACCCTGTGTATGCTTTGTTTTGTCCTATAGATACATACCTATAATAAAGTTTAATTTATAAATTAGGTGCAGTAAGTGATTGACAACAATAATAATGAAACAACAATTATAATAACACACTGTAACAAATGTTATGTGAACGTGGTCTCTCTCACAAATATGTTATTGTACTGTATTCACCTTTCTGGTGATAATGTAAGATGATACAGTGCCTAAGTGATGAGATGAAGTGGGGTGAATATGCTGGACAAAGAGATGATTCATGTTCCAGGTGGACAGCACCAGATTTCATCACCACTAGAATGCCAGGCAATGTAAAACGTATGATTTGTTTGTTTCTGCATTTTCCCACTTAATATTTTTGGACCACTGTTAACCCCCAGTAACTGATACCACAGAAATTGTGGATAAGAGGGGACTTTGTTCTTTATCTAATATTAGATAGAATGTGTAAATTGCTTCTTCTCTAGTTATATAAAGTTTTATATATAAGTAAAAATAATTATAAATTATAGGCCTTGATCTATGGAAGATGTTTGATTACCTAAACTTGGTAATTTTTTATAGGATTAAAATTAAGTTGGATCAAGGAGGAGTGGTTCAAGATTTTATTAATGCCCTAGAACAACTCTCTAATCCAGAAATGATCTTTAAGGTAATATTACATCTTCTAACACATAAAACATAGAACTTAGATAAAATCTACTTACAATCTAGCTTGATTTTTCTCTCTTTTTTCCCCCCCTGCACAGGACTGGACTGAGGATATCAAAGTTGAATTAACAAAAAACCCCGTAAATAAAAAAACCATTGAAAAGATGTATGAAAGAATGTATGCAGCCTTGGGAGACTCAAAGGCTCCAGGCCTTGGGGCTTTTAGAAGGAAGTTTATTCAGGTATGGGTAATGGCAGCCTGCCTTTATGATAGAATCATTGTGAAGACTAATACTTATGGTTGCTGGTTTGTTAGCAATTCTGGTTTTAAATTGTCTGTTGAATTTGTAAACTGTCTTTAGATCTGATGCTTTCTCTGAAATATTAATGGCATGTTTCTAGGTCATAAAGAACAAAGGGGGTCAATAGGTAAAATCTTGGGGGTTTTATTACATTGTGTTCTTCATGCTCAGATTCTTAGATATGAAGGTTACATGTAGTTTAATCTTTTTAATTCTCAGAATGGTTTGAATATTGGATCAATAAATATTTGTATTTTATATAGGTTAACTATTGGTGAGCACTTATCTCTGTTCAAGGCACTCTACTGGGTGCTATAGGAGATACAAAGAGAAGATTGACCCAGTTTCTGAATTCAAAGAATTGTTGGCAGATACTGTATGTAAAGAACTGTAGCCTGAGGACAAATGTGATATGTGAGACCTATTTTCAAAGATGTTTTCGAGTTGAAAGAAAGAGAATCTTCTCACCTCAGTTTGGAGTGAATCAGAAAAATCCTCTTAGAACAAGTGGAGATCAAAGAGCCTTGCCGTGTCCAGATTCCACACCACATGCCTTGTGCTTGCTGCTCCCTCTACCTGAGTTTCTCTGCTGGCCCCGTCCAGCTGGACAGCTCACCCTGGCAGATGTGTCTTTGCATCATTTCTCCTTCAGAGCCTGTCTCTGAACCTCCTTCTCCTCGCTGTCCCCAGGAGTTAGGTGTTCCTTCCCCTCTGCTGCCTGAAGCACCTACATGCACATCTCTTAGCATCATCCATGTTGCAGCATGTGTCAGCACTTCACTCCTTTTTTACTTTATTTTTTTTTATTGATTTCAGAGAGGAAGGGAAAGGGAGAGAGAGCTAGAAACATCAATGATGAGAGAGAATCAATGATTGGCTGCCTCCTGCACACCCCTACTGGGGATCAAGCCCGTAACCCGGGCCCCTTCAGTCCACAGGCTGATGCTCTATCCATTGAGCCAAACGAGCTGGGCAATACTTCACTCTGTTTTATTGCTGGATATTATTCCACTTTTTGTCTCGTTTTGTTTATTCTTTCATCAACTGATGGACATTTGGGTTTTTTTCCACTTCTTAGTTCTTATGAATAGTGCTGCTGTGAACATAGTGTACAGGTTCTTTTGGCAAAATCCCCAGGAATAGAAAACCATATTTATCTTTTTAAAAAAATGTATTTTTTAAAATTGATTTCAGAAAGGAAAGTAGAGGGGGAAAGAGAGACAGAAACATCAATTACAAGAGAGAACCATTGATTGGCTGCCTCCTGCACGCCCCTCTACTAGGGATTGAGCCCATAACCCAGGTATGTGTCCTTGACCAGAATTGAACCTGGGACCCTTCAGTGCACAGGCTGGCACTCTATCCACTGAGCCAAACCGGCTAGGGCCATATTTATCTTTAATTCTTTAATTTATGCCTCCCAAATTAGACTTGTGGACAGAGATTTTCATCTTATTCATCTTTTCTTTTCACTACCTATACTACCGTTGGGTGTGAAATAGGCATCTTTAATTAGATGCATGAATGGTATAGTTTCGGTAAGTAGAGATGGATTTTGTCGGGTCATTCCTACTTAGGGTAGTTTTAGTTAAAGGTCTGAATAAGTGTAAGAATATACAGGACTGTCATTGCTACATGTGACAAGGGGTTTAAATCCTAAAAGCCAAGATAAAATCATGCATGCGCACTGAGTGGGCCGCTCCAAGGACCCAAGGGGCAGAACGTGACAGGTGGCACATCCCGGCCATGGGTCCCAGCATCTGACTCTGCTCACCCTCCTTCCTACAAGCAAGTGAAAGCTGACAGAGGATGTGCTGGGTGAACGGGAGCAGGAAGATGCCACTGCCCAGTTCCCACACGTGGAGTTCACTGGGCGGGACAGCATCCCCTGCCTCTCCTGCCCAGGGACAGGCTACATCCGACAGAGCAAGTAAATGAGCTGGTGGCTTTGATCCCACTTGACCAGAGATTGTGCGCTCGGAGAACCAAGCAGTATGGCCTCCTGTCTGTCCTGCTCTGTCTCCTGGCATTTGGGTTAGTGATTTTCTTCCTATTTCCAAATTCAGTCCTTGTGGACGACGACGGCATCGTGGGAAAAGTCACATTTAATAAGCAGGACTCCCTTGTAATCCTCACTGTCAAGGCCACCCTGAAAACCAGGGCCTTCCACTTCTTCTCTGTGGCAGTGGCCAGCCTGTCCAACCAAGTTCAGTGTGTGAACACAGTGGTTGGTCATATGTGACAGCTAACATCTCCCACATTCCACCTTGGAGCGAGCTGGTGAGTGTGACGGCGCAGGCAGAGGTGGGACGGCCATTTTCCTGTGTGGACTTCGGCACATTGCCCAGTGTCCAGGGGTACAACGTAGTGACCTTCATGAGAACTTCAGTTAAGATCTCATACATTGGCCACATGACCTAGAGCTCCTTGGAGACACATCACTATGTGGATTGTGGACAAATTCCTCAGCTGTTTAGAAAATGCTTTTGGTTCTTCTGTGGCAGCACCTGTCAGAAGAGACACAGCATCTGTTCTCAGGGCCCGAGTTCCATTCCTACCCCAGGTGGTAGAAGCAGAGGAGAAACTGGTTCTCTTAATCCCCAGCAAACACCCTCCTGCCACTTGGGAGGGAAACTCACCTCGATAGCAGCATTCATGCATCTCCGAACCACAGAATCGCTGCCCAGCGAATAGTAGGCACTCAGGGTTTGAAGAATTAAATTCAGGTCTTTTCAGCTGTTCTTGGAGCATTATAAATTGAAAGCATGCCGTGCTAGGTTATAAAACCATAGAGTAACAGGGACAGTTAGTGCAGTACTGTGAAACAGAGGAGGATTTGATATGGTGTGGAGCCTAGTAATATAGGTCATTCAATGAAATACAGAGGTTTATAATCTTACCTTTTTTGAAAATCAGAAGCAGGGTGTTTTTCTGCCAGATCCCTAGTCCCTGTTCCAGCCAGTGAATGAAGGCTAAATCAGGCCCCACATGGGCTCTCGGTAAAAGCATTGATAACGTTCTGTGAGTTCCTGGCATCTGGGAGCAGATGAAAATCGTCACCTATAGAATGGTCTGTGCTTTCTCTGTGTATCCAGGTTTTCTCTCCCTGCTGCCTCCTCTGTGCAGATGCACTAACTGTCCTATCTCCAATGTTCAAATTTACCTTAAACATTAATATTTAAGATAAGTTTTATTAATTTCAGGCTTTTGGAAAAGAATTTGATAAACACTTTGGGAAACGAGGTTCGAAGCTACCTGGAATGAAGCCTCATGACTTCAATGACATTACCAACACACTGCTTTCAAAAATGCGCGAAGACTCAAAGCCACCTGGGAACCTGAAAGAATGCTCACCCTGGATGAGTGACTTCAGAGTGGAATTCCTAAGAAATGAGCTGGAGATTCCTGGTGAGTGAACCTTCAGAAGTGACAAGGCTACTTTAAGGAGAATAGTGCTGTAGCAAGAACTTTTGATTTCTAAAATAAAGTCAGGATTTTGACAGTTATTTTTATTTTAAATTCTTGTCATATTTTTATCATTACTATGAATCGGTATACTTTATCCAATGTCTAATTAGATTATAGTTTTCTTATATTCCTGATTATGACAAGTGTTCAGATTTCTATCTAATAATAATGATAATGTAATTTCTTCTAAACATCCCCATGCTTTGCTTCTGAATACCTTTTCCTCAGAAATATGATATAGGTATAAATGCAAATCACTTCTTGGGATGTACATGCTGGACCCATTCAAAGTGACAAGATAATGATAAACAACTTACCTTTGAGAAAAAGAATTGTGACATTGAGGATAAAGACAAGTCGGTCAGATGTGAACACAGCATTTTTCAAAGACAATTTTTTTACATTTCATGTTCTTTACCCTGGAATTCAACAGACCAAAAAAAATGTTTTAATATGGTTATATATCCATTGGATATAAAAAACATTTGGAGAAACACTTTTCTTTGTTATTATTAGCAGCTATGTATTACATGCAGGCAGTTTCAAAAAAATTATTTGAAACGTAAGCCTCCTAATATGCAGCTTGATTCTCCTTGAAATACAACAGTGTTCTATCCAATGCATTATTTTTCCTGTTTGAAGTTCTTCCCTTAGTCAAATTCAGAAATGCAGGGTTGGGCAAAAGTAGGTTTCTAGTTGTAATACAAGTAAATAATACAATAATTAATAAATAATAACACAAAATAAACTGCATACTGCACAACTCTAAACCTACTTTTGTTTAACCCTGTAATAGATTTTTTAAGATCCATTTTCCTAAAATAAAAACTTTTAGTAAAAATTTTGTTAACTTTTTAATTAGATCGCAACTATTTTTCAAGTTTTTTTAAATTGATTTTTAGAGAGAGAGGAAGGGAAAGGAAGAGAGAGAAACACCGATGTGAGAGCAAGACAGAGATTGACTGTCTCCTGCACACCCCCTACCAGGTATCAAGCCCGCAACCTGGGCATGTTCGCTGACCAGGAATCAAACTGGCAACCTTTTAGTGCATGGGACGATGCTCAACTACTGAGCCACACTGGCCAGGGCAGCAGCTGTTTTAAAATACAGGGATCTGTAACAAGCTCTATCTAAATAAGGCTTTTCTGTTTTGTCTTAGGTCAGTATGATGGCAAAGGAAAGCCAATGCCAGAATACCACGCACGGATCGCGGGCTTTGATGAGCGGGTAGGTGCCGGTGTTAGGATTGTTAGTCTGTGGCATTTAGTTCTCACATTTGAGAATATTTGTGTACCCAAGAAAAGACAATTAACTTCCTGTGTTGGTCTAAAATGTATGTAGTTTTATGATCCTATTCTTAACTGAATTTCTTAATGTTTCCAATGTTTTAATATCAGTCGTATTTAAGGACATAATAAACTTGAAGGGTAAACTATATATGTGTATCCATTATAAAACATAGGTAATTTAAGTAATTGTAGAAAGTTGTATATTGCTTGTTGCTAAGGACATCCACATTTATTAGCAATTATTTTAACCAGGAATATGAAATTATGTGGGTACAATAGTATGGTGTGAACAGGTAACAGAAATATCTCACAGACCCTCGATTATCTCTTTTTTTCTCTATATCACTGTCTTCAAAGAGAGATCTCTCTTTGAGCAATGTGTGCCAACCAGCCTTACTTTCCCCACCCCTCCTTTTTTAAAATATATTTTTATTGATTTCAGAGAGGAAGGGAGAGGAAAAGAGAGATAGAAACATCAATGATGAGAGAGAATCATTGATTGGCTGCCTCTTGCACACCCTCTACTGAGGATCGAGCCCGCAATCCCAGGCATGTGCCCTGACCAGGAATTGAACCCTGACCTCCTGGTTCATATTCAGCCATGAGCCACACCAGCTGGGCACTTTCCCCCCTTTTGATGGTGATATGATGTGCTGGTCCCTCAGTGTGTAGACTGCACCTAAAAATATTTTCTTAATTTTTAAAGGTGAAAACAATGGCTTCTATCAGAAAACCGAAGCGCATCATCATCCGAGGCCATGATGAGCGAGACTACCCTTTCCTGGTGAAAGGGGGCGAAGATCTGCGGCAGGACCAGCGCGTCGAGCAGCTCTTTGAGGTCATGAACGTCATCCTCTCCCGAGACGCCGCCTGCAGTCAGAGAAACATGCAGTTACAGACGTACCACGTCATCCCCATGACCTCCAGGTATGAGCGCCGGGGCGTTGTCATTCTAGAGCAGATTTATGTAAATGGAAACTTCAGCATTGGGCCAAATCCTTGTTTCATTTGGCTGAGATGGGGTTGGAGGTCACTTGACAATTTAGTGTTTTAGATTTCACAAAGACAGAAACCTAGCCAGAACTAATAAACACCTCTAAACATGATTTTTATCTTGATGTGGGGAAAGTAAGTGAAGAATTGACATGAAAAAAAAAATCTGTTTTGCTTTAATTCTACAGAACTTTTTTCCAGTAAAGAAAGAGCAGTTTGGGTTTGTATTCATAAACCTTTTATTCTCCTTTTCAGATTAGGATTAATTGAATGGATTGAAAATACATTTACCTTAAAGGAACTTCTTTTGAGTAACATGTCGCAAGAGGAGAAAGCAGCTTATACAAGGTAACGTGGAGTCTCAGTACTTTCTCCAGCCCTGCCCTGGTCCACCCCAGCCAGCTGCTGCGCCCGGACGTGACATTCTCCCTGAGTAGAGTTGTTTCAAATTCCGTTTCCTCCACCCCATGTTTCTAGTCACATTTTAGGGCCCCTTTCTATTGGTGCTGTCAGCCGACCCTGGCCTAGTCTTTAATCTGCTTCTGGGTAGGTGAATACCCTAAATGGAGTAGAGGAGTCTAAACAGTAGTTGCATATATTTTACCACAATAACGCAAAAAAAAAAAAGAAAGTGTTAGCTTTGGGAAAAAAGGGAAAATCTTGAAAGAAGTAAAACAAATACATAAGAATAGCAGCTGACATTTCATTAAATGTCTTCTGTGTGCTAGGCACTATTCTCAGCTCTTAATATATATGAAGTCATTTATTTTTTCACAAAAACCTGCAAGGTGAGTGTCACTAGCTCTGTTCAGATGAGGAAGCTGAGGCCCAGAAAGGTTAAGTACTTGTCCTAGGTTACCCAGCATGTAAGTGGTATAGCTAATCAGAAGGGTTTTTTCTTTGTTTTTTGATTCTGTAAAGAAAAATAAGGACAATATTGAAACACATTTTGAAGTAGGAGTTAACTAGCTTTGAGGACAAGCTATAGAATGAGGGAAGAAAAAACAGGCCTATTTTTCTTCATTGTATTCTCATTCTTTCCTGAAAGTATGGAACAGTTTTTGTAAAATTAATCATTTTGATCAAACTCTTACCTGTGGGTAACAGTTGCTACATAGGACAGTGATTATCAGCTTTTAATTCCCATCATTTGAGTCCTTCGTCTGGAATTGTCTCTGCCTTGACGACAGGAAAGCTGGCGAACAGTACTTCCCAGAGTCCGAAATTCCGCAGCTGCTCTGGTACTGCTGGGCAGTGTTCAGACTCACCGTTCCCTCTTCCCACGCCTCCTTTGTAAGAGGGGGCAGTGATGTGAAGTGCATAAGGCAAATATAGGTATCAGCAGAGTTCAAAGTGCTTTTCAATATGAAATTGTTAGACTACTTTCCTCTACCTTTTTAAAACAAGGCACTTCCAACCCCCATTACTAAACATCATTGCTATCTTTTCTTTACATATAACAGTTTTTCCAAACTAAAGATTTTCACCCCAGTTGAAACTAGGAGAGAATTTAGTTGAAAACGAGTGTCCATTTATGAAGTTAACTTAGTAGCAATTCAGAAAAGATTCAACTTAAGTGATCGAACTATTAAGTAATATGTTGCAAAATCATTCTATCTTTAGGTGTTTTTTTAGGAAAACTTGTTAAAACTTTTGACACAAACCCGGAAGTGGCTAAACATACAAATATCCCATTGTTCCCAGCTGCCCAGATGCTGCCTTTTGCCTAAGAAGCATTGAAAACAGCTTTTCAAATTCAATTCAATTCACATCCATTGTCTTCTAAGAAAATACTTTTTTCTTAGTACGGATTTCATATGTATCTGCAAACTGGAAAAGGGGAAAGAGTAAGGCAGGGTTTTAAATTATGACAAGAACAGACTTCATCTGTCTTCAAATGATGTGTGGCGTTGTGTTTGCAGTGTCGCATGGCTGCCTGTTTTAAATCAGTTACGTGTAGTCCCATCACCCTGTTGTTGCGGTGCTTTCCCAGGACAGGACTTCTAGAGCCACATGCCAAGGTCATAGACACTTATGTTGAGGTCATCTTGTTTCTCTCTGTATGAAGTGGAAAAATGATTGTATTTCTTTGTTTTGTGCCTAAACTTTTACACAGGAAATACCTTTGGTTCTTCAGAATGAAGAACCAAATTAAGGATGAATAATGATATATTGAAATTCTAGATCCAGAGTAACATGGGTTGTGTTAATATTAAATACTAGAGGCCCGATGCACGCAGATTTGTGCAAGAATGGGCCTTTCTTCCCCTGGCTGCTGGCACCATCTTTGCTCTGGCCCGGAGCCGCCTTTCCACCTTCCCACGCTGCCCAGAGGCCCAGAGTGGCTGGGGCGGTGTGGAACGCCTGCCTTGTCGCCACGGCAAGCATCCTGTCCCGCCCCTGGCCGCTCGGCACCCGTGTATGCAAATTAACCTGCCAGTTTTGTTGGGTTAATTTGCATACTCACTCCTGATTGGCTGATGGGTGTCGGGAAGGTACGATCAGTTTGCATATTTCTCTTTTATTAGTGTAGATGATTAAAAATCACATTTATTTTCCCTGCCTCTTCACTGTTTTTCAATGAATTCATGGTGGTCTTTGCCTCTAAAAGCATATAATGCTGAATATCTCCCCAGTGCTGACTCCTTTTTCCTCTTTGCTAGTGATCCCCGAGCCCCACCATTTGAATATAGAGACTGGCTGGCAAAGACGTCGGGAAAGCAGGGCCCTGGCGCTTATATGCTGATGTATAAGTGAGTGTGTTTTGATTTTCCTTTTTGTAACTAGTTTGTGCTTCTCAAGGTTGCATATATACTTTTGTTTCTTAGAAAGTTTTACCTCAGAGAAATTATCAAAATCTAGTTACTTGATATCTGAGCTTCCATGTAAACAAAGAGTTTTAAATTTCCCGTCACAAGAAGTTTGTTCTAATCAGACATTTTCTATTGTTCAATCTCAGGAGAGCTAGTCGTACTGAAGCAGTCACATCTTTCAGAAAAAGAGAAAGTAAAGTACCAGCTGCTCTCTTGAAGTAAGTATCCTTCCAACTGTACCCCCCGCTGGTAGCACAGCAGGGACCCCAGCTGTGTCCCCTCTCCCAGGCCTGTTAGCACAGCGAGGACCCCAGCGGTGTCCCCTCTCCCAGGCCTGTTAGCACAGCGAGGACCCCAGCGGTGTCCCCTCTCCCAGGCCTGTTAGCACAGCGAGGACCCCAGCGGTGTCCCCTCTCCCAGGCCTGTTAGCACAGCAGAAACCCCCAGCGGTGTCCCCTCCCCCAGGCGCGCCTTTCTGAAGATGAGCGCCGGCCCGGAGGCCTTCCTGGCGCTCCGCTCCCACTTTGCCAGCTCTCATGCTCTGATGTGCATCAGCCACTGGATTCTGGGCATCGGAGACAGACATCTGAACAATTTCATGGTGAACATGGAGACGGGTGGCATGATCGGAATTGACTTCGGACATGCCTTCGGATCAGCTACGCAGGTGTGCTCCTCGCGCTCTCATGGTTCTTGGCTAATTTACAGTTGTTTTAGGACCTTGTAACGCCCTCTGGCAATGGACAGTTTTCAAAGAAGTGACAGCTTTGGGTCAGTGGGGTCAGCTTTGTCATGAACATTCATTTAACTTTCTTGCAGAAAGGGATGTTCTCAGCCTGGGTCAGACAGGTTATACAAGGTGTGAAGACAAACTGCGATCAGAACTAAGAATAAAATGTGCTCCTATAAAAAGGGAAGACTCTAAGGGAGTTTTATGAAGCTGCAGAGTCGGCATGTCTTGTGCAGGATCTGATGCCAGTGTTTTCTCTGACACTGAGCTCTGTTTGAAGTCGCACTTCTGAGTCTGCAGGCTGCGTGGTCTGTGCACGGAGGGGGTGGCATCGCAGGGATGACTGTTGGCTACTCGTGGGCACAGTGCATTTCTCTCTGTGGATCTGATTTTGAGAAAAGTGGAGGGAGTTCATGTTCTCACTAAATGTGAATAGTAACAACGGGAAGATGCTTTGTTTGTGCCTGTGCTTAGTGAATATATCCTGTTTCTTGTGTGTATGTTTTTCTCTTTAGTTTCTGCCAGTCCCTGAGCTGATGCCTTTTCGTCTAACTCGCCAATTTATCAATCTGATGTTACCAATGAAAGAAACAGGAGTTATGTACAGTGTCATGGTGCACGCACTGAGAGCCTTCCGCTCGCACCCCGACCTGCTCACGACCACCATGGACGTGTTTGTAAAGGAACCTTCCTTCGACTGGAAAGTAGGGTGGTTTATATGCACTTCCACTTGTATTATAATGTGCTAGTAATTGATAAGATGGAAATGCATCAAAATGTTTCCCTGAAATATTTACATGATTTTATAGAGCATTTCACGAAAATAACAGTTGGAAATCATTTGGCTTGAAAATAAGATAAGAAACATAACCTTTATTTGGACAAAGCTATTGTTTCAATTGAATGTCTTTCTAATTAGGAGAGGAAGCATGAACCCATTAATGGTGGGTTCGATTTCTCTTGGAGACAACTTTTATTTTAAAGTCTGCTCCATATGAGGTCTTCCTTGATCATAAAGACAAACAGTACTTTCTTAAATCTCAAGGGTTCTTTACAACACAGCCCCAAAGAATGAAGCTTAGCAATGACACCCTTTACATAGGGAGTGATTTTTAAAAAATATATATATTTTTATTGATTTCAGAGAGGAAGGAAGGGAGAGAGAGAGAAACATCAATGATGAGAGAAAATCATTGATTGGCTGCTTCCTGCACACCCCCCACCGGGGATCGAGCCTACAACCCTGGCATGTGCCCTTGACCAGAATCGAACCCGGGACTCTTCAGTCCACAGGCCAACACTCTATCCACTGAGCCAAACCAGCTGGGGCAGGAGTGATGTTTAAACCTGACCATGATTCCTCAAGATCATTGTCACTATTGTGTTACTACCATTAGAATCTGCATAAAAAGCTATAGAGCTCCTCCCAGTTACAGAGTTGTTTAGTTTAAGATCATGACTTGTTTTATCTGTTTGGATGTGATCAAATGTACTGTTATAGTAAGCAAAGAAAATCATGTTCTTTTCCTTTAGAATTTTGAACAGAAAATGCTGAAAAAAGGAGGATCGTGGATTCGAGAAATAAATGTAACAGAAAAAAATTGGTATCCCCGGCAGAAAATATATTATGCTAAGAGAAAGTTAACAGGTGCCAATCCAGCAGTTATTACTTGGTAAGATTATCATTTGTGGGGAAAAAAAACAAACAAAACACCATCTGCTAGCATTTCCTGAAGAATTACTACCTACTGTAGGAAGTGCTAAGAACTTTACATGTAGCCTGTGATGTGAGCCCTATATCCTCACTTTACCAATGAATGCTCAACGTCATTAGTCATCAGACGTTAGTCATTAGTCACACCCACTAATAAAAAGTAATGACATGCAACTAGTGGTGGTGAGGAAGTGGAGAAATTGGAGCCCTCGTATGTTGCTGGTAGGAAGATAAAATGGTGCAACCGCTGTGGACAATGCAGTTGGCAGTTAATCAAAAATTTAAACATAGAATTGCCGTTTGAGTCTTCAGTTTGTCTCTTCAGTATTCACCCGAGAGAAATGAAAGCACGTACCAACACAAAGCTTGTAGACAAACATTAATAGCAACATTATCCGTGTTCTATTTTTCTACAAATTGAGTCTCTTGACTTCAAGGTTATGAGCAACAGAAACATTCTATAAGTGATGAAAGGGAATGCTTGATAGCTAGGAATGCAGGCAACAAAGGGAAAATAATGAGTGGTTTATGCTTTTGTATCTGTTTACTATTTCTTCAGTGATGAGTTGTTTCTGGGCCATGAGAAGGTACCTGCCTTTGATGACTTTGTTGCTGTCGCACGAGGAAACAAGGATCACAACGTTCGTGCCCAAGAACCAGAGAGTGGACTTTCGGAAGAGGCTCAAGTGAAGTGCTTGATTGACCAGGCAACAGACCCCAACATCCTTGGCAGAACTTGGGAAGGGTGGGAGCCCTGGATGTGAGGGCTCAGGGAGTCAGCAGGTAAAAAATGTGAAAGCGTTTAAGCCTGAAATTAGCCCATTTTCCTGAAGCACTAAAGAGAAGAAAAGATCATGATGAATAAGTGAATATTGAAATGAATGAATGATTGGGTTAAGGTTATCATAGACGTTTAATAAAAAAATGTATATCCAGGCTCATACACGTATAAAGATTATAGCACATTACAAGTGCTGTGACTTAGACAAAGCAGCTATCTTAATAAATGGTATCGTGTGAAATTCCATTCAGTGTCTCCTTGGTAATTATGGCGTATTGGAAACAACACCCAGAAGCCTCATCACTGAGCCTGAGCGTAAAGCCAACAGCATGACTGATACGTTACCTTATATTAGCGGTACAGGAACAATAACAGGTAAAGCTGTGGCTTATTATATTTAGAAGTGATTGCATTTGATGTTTCTCTCTCATCAATGTTTCCATCTCTCTATCGCTCTCCCTCCTCTCTTTCTAAAATCAATAAAAAAATATTTTTAAAAACCTTCGTCTCAGCACTCACTTTTGCCACCCTGCTCCACAGTGGGAAGAAAGGTAGACTCAGGATAACTTCAGCAGTCCCAGGTCTGGGTATAGGGATAGCACTAAGCATTGCAATTCCAGGAAAACAAGTCCCTATAGGAAATGGATTCCTCATTTGGAGAGGAAACATGCATTTTAGAACAGCAAGATCACATTATGAAATCCAAAAATGGCTTTCCACTCAGTCTCAGCCTCCTCTAACACCTCCACACACCTGAGACTGTTTCAGATTGGCTTGAGCTTTTTATTGTTTTTTAAAAACATTTATATTTAGAAGCAGCCTAAGTGCCCATCAGCAGATGAGTGGATTAAAAACCTGTGGTACATCTACACAATGGAATACTACGCTGCTATAAAAAAGAAGGAATTCTTACCATTCGCAACAGCATGGATGGACCTGGAGAGCATTATGCTAAGCAAAATAAGCCAGTCAGAGAAAGATAAATATCACATGATCTCACTCATTTGGGGAATATAATGAACAACATAAACTGATGAACAAAAATAGATCCAGAGACATAGAAGCATCAAACAGACTGTCCATCCTATGAGGGGAGGTGGGGGTTGAGGGCGTAAGAGATCAACCAAAAAACTTGTATGCATGCATTTGAGCATAACCCATGGACAGACAGTAGCGGGGTGAGGGCATGTGCTGGGGCCGGGGGGGCGGGGGGGGGGGAGTGTCCGGGTAGAGGTCAATGGGTGGGGGGGTGACTTTTGTAATACTTTAAATAATAAATAATTTATATATTTTTTAAAAATTCAGTGTTACCAGATGACTGTGTGTATGAGACTGTGTGTATGAGTCCCATTTCAAAGCTGTCTGCTTGGAAATTCCTGTAGAAACCATGAGCATGCACTAAAAAAGAAATCGTTACAGTGTAGAGTGTTCATAAGACACTTGCGCAATCGCTCAGGATAGTAAATGTCCTCATTACACACTTAGGGACTGCATGTCTGGCTCATACCTGTCGTCCAAACTCCAACCCTGTGATTCTTGCTGAGTAAAGACAGTTGACTTGTCTCATACACAAGAGAAGGGTGGTTAGCGTGGGGAAGAGGGTTGGAGGAGCAGGAGGAGGGTAGAGGGGGTCAAATATATGGTGACCGAGGGAGACTAAGACTGGGTGGAAATCACACAATGCAATATGTAGGTAATGTATTATAGAATTGTACACTTGAAATATAATGTTACTAACCAATGTCACCCCAATAAATCTCATGAAAGATGTATTTGGTTTGGAAACCAGGAAATAAGACATCTCTACTGATTATAATTATAAGAAAATATGAATAATATTAAGAATATTTTATTGCCCTATCCCAGTGGTCAGCAAACTTCGGCTCGCGAGCCACATGCGGCTCTTTGGCCCCTTGAGTGTGGCTCTTCCACAAAATACCACGTGTGGGCGTGCATGTACAGTGCGATTGAAACTTTGTGGCCCATGCGCAGAAGTCGGTATTTTGTGGAAGAGCCACACTCAAGGGGCCAAAGAGCCGCATGTGGCTCACGAGCCGCAGTTTGCCAACCACTGATCTAGACTGTCTCCACGGTATTAGTTTATTTTGCTCATTAGATTCCACATATAAGTGAAATCATATGGTACTTGTCTTTCTCTAATTGGCTTATTTCACTTAGCAGCATACTCTCCAGGTTCATCCATGCTGTCTCAAGTGGTAAAATTTCCTTCAACGGCGAATACTCCATCGTGTAAATGTACCAGAGTTTTTTCATTCACTCATCGACTGGCGGACACTTGGGCTGCTTCCAAATCTTGGCTATTTTAAAGAACACTGCAGTGAACATAGGGGTGCACATATTATTTTGAATTAGTGTTACTGGTGTCTTCAGATGTATTCCCTGATGTGGAATTCCTGGGTCATAAGACAGTTCCATTTTTCATTTTTTTGAGGTAACTCCATATTGTCTTCCACAGTGACTGTACCCATCTGCATCCCCACCAACAGCGCACGGGAGTTGTTCCCTTTTCTCCATATTCGTTCCAACACTTGTTGTTCGTTGATGTTTATTGACCCTCAGGCTGGCTGACTGCGAGGCTCAGCCCTGGCCACGGTGTGTGAGCTGCTGTGCAGATGTGACTGCATGAAGCAGAATTTGCCTCGGCAGGTTCTGGTGCTGCTGAGACCTCCCGTTGGATGTGCTGTTTGTGAGGCTTATTAGGTCCTGCTCTCATGTTGTGCGAAGCTGGCCACAGGCTGTGTGGGTTCTGGCCCGCTGGGGAGGGACTGGTGCAGGCCAGTGTCAGATGCTGTCTGTGGCTGGCCCTGAACAGCCTGTTCGGAGCTACACGTGACCCATAGTTTGTGGCTGTCTCTGCTGGTCTTGGGCGCACATGGGAAGGACCTAACTGCACACCACGGTCAGCTTTTTCCCCCAGTACTGCTTCCAGGGGCAGGTCAGCAAGTCCCAAGTCATCCTGAGACCACCTCCACCTGTTGGCAGCCTGTTAGGCCCAGTCACTGAAAGAGCCCCTGGCAGACTTGGGGGAACGGGGCCAGCGGTTTCCTGCCAGGGGAGGTGCTGGCCTGGCTTCAGGGGTGGTGGTGGGTGTGGGCCTCACTCCAGAGTGACTGGACTCAGTCTTCCTGAGTTTTGTCCTGACTTTGGCAGGTGAAGCCGCGAGGATTCAGGCAGGCGGGGCCTCCGGAGTCTGCTGGTTGGATCTGTGGGAAACTGGGCTGGTGGTTCTGTTGGATTTCATGGTGAGGAAGTGCCAGTCAGGTTCGCAGGAAAAGCAGGTAATGGCCTCTGCCCCAAAGTCAGACCATTCAGTCCCGGCACCCTGTGCGTCTCCCTGACTCCGACAGCCTGGCCAAAGCAGCTAACTCCTCAGCAGGGCACAAGCTCCACATGAGGGGGGGGGGGGGGGGGCAGATGGAGTCCAGAGGGTGTGGCTATTGCTCTCCTTCAGGCTGATGCCACAAAGACACTCCACCCAAGAGAGATGGCACCTTTGATATGGGAGAATGACTCAGCACAGCTCCCTCCCCAGAGCAACAATTCCTAGACTTTCCCTAGGTGATTCTAGTCCCCCTTGCCCTCCCTCTGCTAGAGCCCAGTGTGAGTGGCTGTGTACAAAATTGTGTGCATTGGCCCTTTAAGAGGGTGCCCGTGTCTCCCACAGACTCCAGACTCAGTCTCTCCCTGGTGGACAGAAACCCTGCTGCTTTTCACAGCCGGGTGTTAGGTGGACACCTCCACAGGCTCTGGTGCTCTAGGCTGGGGAACCTGGCTTGGGGTTTCGGCCCCAGGCCTCTCTGGAACCTCATCTACCACCTGTGGGAGCAGAGCCAGTCCTCTTGGCATCGTCACCCTTCCTACTAGTCTCGATGCGGCCGCTTCTGTAAATCCACGGTTACAAGGCTTCTCCTCAGCTCGTCTTCAGTAGGTTATTCAGGATGATTGTTCTTTATTTCAGCTGTAATTCCAGTTTAGTCCTGAAAGGAGGTGAGTGTAGCTTCCACCTACTCTGCTGCCATCTTGAGGCTCCCTCCTCCGAATCACTTTTAAATTCAGAGTTGTTGATATTTGGGTTTTATACCCAATACTGCTCTCTTTTTGGTCAAGAGAGTTGGTGATGCAGAATTTCTTAAAAGAGAGCTCTCCACTATTATCCCTAGGGTTTCACTCCTATCCACTTACACCTGTTTTCAGGCAAGACCAAATGTTGTAATTGACACCGTGGCCAATGGTGATTGGCATATGCATCCCAATATTGCATCCAAATTTCAACAAAATATGAAAAAATGTGCATTTGATATTTGGCAATATGTGAGGTGAATTATCCTGAGAAACCCGATATGGAAATGATTCATGTGGCTGAAGTCACGGAAGGCAACAGAGAGGTGCTATTTTATGAAGGCTCTGGCCGATGGAAGGTCCTGCCAGCCACATAGGAGAGGGGAGGAAGAGCTCTCACCCGGACCATCGCCATCACAAACGGGGGCCAGGTAGGTCTGTGGGGGGATTCAGAGTTGAGCCAGGCATCTGTTGCTTGTGGTAGGAAACAGATTTACTCGTAAAGAAGTGGGCAGTCGAGGGCTCACACTTAAAAACTGAAACTCCAGCCCTAACCGGTTTGGCTCAGTGGATAGAGCGTCGGCCTGCGGACTGAAAGGTCCCAGGTTCGATTCAGGCCAAGGGCATGTACCTTGGTTGCGGGCACATCCCCAGTAGGAGGTGTGCAGGAGGCAGCTGATCGATGTTTCTCTCTCATCGATGTTTCTAACTCTCTCCCTCTCCCTTCCTCTCTGTAAAAAATCAATAAAATATATATTTAAAAAAAAACAAAAAACAAACAAAAAACTGAAACTCCATTCTCTTGGCCAAGAACCTCTCAAGTATTTTATGGAACAGAGTGACAGAACCTTCCTCTTCAAAGAGCTCTTGGCAGCCACCTGGAGAATGGATTGGGTGGGGGAACTCGTACGTGCAAGCCTGCTGTGCCCTTCCTGGGGGAACAGGTGTGACAAGTGCCACCCAGGAAGTGCCTGGGCTGTGTCAGGAGGTGGAGGCAGGGCTGACAGGTGTGAGCTAAGGGAAGGAGGAATCCACTTGACAAGAATATGGGTTAGAAAGACAATTGCTTCTCCTTTGTGTTTTATTCATGGGAAGGTGAGCAAGAAAATGGAAGTTGGACACCTGACCCACAGAATCAAGTACCTGTGTTCAGCTCCGGTT